CACTTGTTAAACTAGGAATAGTCAAATATGTGATTTGTACTGCCATTTTTGGTCTTTTTTCTGCTACTTACTGCAGGTCATGATCTGGACATAGGGCTGTCTCTGCAGTAAATTCATCAAATTAGTTTACTGATGTCAAGAATAAATATTCAGTTCAGATAGCCTCAAAACGCTTAACACTTTACTAGGCTAATCAAGGGAACTAACAGCTGTGTAGCCCAGTAAAAAAAAATATTTCCCTTTTTATTGTTCCTTTGTGAATAAAAACCTAAACATTTAGAAATTCAGAGTGTTTCCATTGCATTCCATTAAGCCACAAACTACTGCTTGACTTGCTTACAAAATGAGTTTTTGAGCATGCACACTCAAGCATTCCTGCTTTTTTCAGAGGTTCTGGGAGGGTAAAGTTGTTAGAGGAAGCCAACCATATCTGTTTTTGAATATGCGATATTTTCATAATTAACAAAATGACATGATTTTTCTTTCCTATGAGAATAGCCTTCTCTTTACAAAAGTTATGAATTTCAATTGTATATGGTTCTGTTCTCTTTGTGACCCCCAGTGATCTGACTATTTTTGCAATGAATTCATGGCACAATTAATCTCTCACCTCAGTTTCCAATGGATCATTAATTTAATTGAGTAATTTAGTAATGTGGATATGACTTCAAGGCCTTATTTTCAACACAAAGAAGCAGGCAGCAAGACCAAGCAGGCAAATAAATAACAGGGCCCAGCTCATTTCAGGACTATTAAAGTACTTGTGGCCTAAATGAGCATCATTATACTGTAATTCTCATCATTGGATTATATTGTTTATTTACAGTTTCTTAACATTAGTCTAAAAAATCTATAAAGGGCCACGGGCCACTGAGATCAAATCAGGGTGGTTTGAATGAAGCCCAGGCTAATGTATTTTAGGACCTAAAAATACATTAGCCTGGGCTTCATTCAATTACTCTTCTTTACTTCCTTACAGGTGCAGACAGGATGAAAAAGAAAAGAAAATAGCAGAACATTATGTGCTCTAATTCCAAATTGCTCACATCAGGAATTAATAACTGATGACCTACTGTACTGTATGTGGTGAACTAAATTGAATAGAGGAGCTCAATAGATTTTATTTAGAAACATAAATGCAACACCACCACTCACAATCAGTATCTACCAGAAATATGTTTTATATTGTGGGTAACATGATGGTGACCAATGTAATGTTCAGTTAAAAATAAACACAGATCTTGTTTCACAAGAAAAGCATCTTGTTATAGCAGCTGTAACAATCAAACACCTGAACAATTGTATTACAGACCCTTTTATAACCATGAAACTTGTTACAATCCACTTACGGGCATTAGAATATGACTTAGGGGTATATATGGTGTAAGAGGGCAGTAGGAGGCAGCATGTTGGTGCACTGGTTAGCATTACTGCCTCACAGCTCTGAGGCCCTGGATTCAATTCCTGGGGTGCTATCTGTGTGGAGTTTGTATGTTCTCCCAGTATGTTAGACAGCTTCTGGGAAAAGTGGTCATAGGTGTGAGTGAGCACATGTGGTGGACTTGCATCCTGTCCAGGGTTTACCCTGCCTTGCTCCCAGTGCTTACTGGAATAGGCACTGGCTCCCCTGAATTGGAAGAAGTTAGACAAATGAAGGATGTTTTACTGTATATTGTTTTAAAAAACTATACAATTGAAACATTTTATCTGTATTAAAGATTGTCTTTGCTTTCATGGCCTTAAGCACATGTTGGATGGTTAAAATACTAGTGAAATTTAAAAGTAGCCTTTATCATCATAATCTTTATCAGTCTTTTCAATGCTATTTCTATAGCAGCTATATTCATGAAGCTCAGCTAGCATGACCATTACAGGACACTGCAATATTAAAATACGTCATCTTAAATTACCTTTATTTTTATTAATAAAATATATTTCCTTTTTTTAGTTTTTCAAAAATCCTCCCACACTCTATTAATGTCACCCCTCTGCAGGAGTGGCACTAGATGCTGTTGTGCCTGTTGTTTTTGTGTTTGCTCTTGGACCAGATATATACAATATAACTTTCTTGTCTATTCACATGACGTTTGCTCTGCACTTGAAGAAAATTGTCATAATGTGACTAAAAGTCTTATGTGTTTGAATAATTTCATGTGAGAGTCTTTCCATGACTACACAACCCAGTTGTTTAACCCACAATCCCAGTCATTCGCAAGTTAATTCTCTAAAGACCTTGGCTTAAAGTAATGGGGCTTAAAGTTGCCATTAATTCATTTGTTTTATATCACAATAAACACAATTAATCTGTTTTGAGCAACACCTGTTAGCAACGCACATTTGAAAAGGGGAAGTTTGAAGTCTGAAGTCTGAGCCTAGCTAAACGCATTTGTGCCCACCAAGGCTACAGCAATTGAACTGCACTTGATTTACAATTGATTTACATACCAACAACCGGTATTTTGTTATGCATACCTCAATTGTTTGTGAAAAGGCCAAGTTCTCCTAATCAGGATCACCCAGAGCTTGTAAGAAAAAAATAACAAGCAGAAATATGATGCTAGTAATCAAATTAATCAAAGAATACTCCATTGTGCCAAGTATTGGAAGGGAGAGAATGTCAGGGCAGCTGGGAAAAGTGACAGACCACAGCACTAGGGCAAGGCCATGAAAAATATAAATTCCCACCAATTAAATCAGCTTGGTCCACGTTACCAACAGGCACTACTCATGACATTGTGTATCACATACTAAGATAGTCTGCAAAATTGTCGTATATTCTTCATAATTAAACCCTGCCTGGGAAATATATTAAGAGAATCTCAGCTATTTCAGTAAAGGTTATAGCTTTTTCCACCTAGGAACAAGAAATGAAATATCACTGCCTTCATTATACAGTATAACATAGGATGCAACTCACCTTCAGGGTACAGTAGTTCTTTACAGCTGTCAAAACACTACAGGTGGAGGAGGCTATCACCTTAATGTCTCAGAATCCAGATTTCCAGAGCCACAGGGCCTGTTCCATTTCGGTTTAAATGAGAACTCAGTTTACTTAGCTGAATTACCAGTTCTATTAATATTGCAATTTAGCCACATGGCTCTAAAGCCACCAACTTCTGAGATGCGTCAGCTCCTGTACTTTGAACACAGAAAGCAGTCTTCCCTCTGAGCAAACCATGTGCAAACTACTCAAATAATTCATTTGTGGAGTGGAACACTTTGCCCAAAGGCAAGATCCAAAGTGCATACGGATCACTATTAAAACATGACATTGATGATTTTAAAAACCGTTAATATGTCCAGCTCCGCACATTATGTGAATCAGAACAGCTGATATTGAAGAAAGAATAACACCCAGCTGCCTCTTAGAACTTTAGTTTCAATTAGTATTCTTTTCTAAAATGTTTTTTAGGAACTATTCTTTTTTTTTTCCTGGAGCCATAGAGCTGCTGCCAAAAGGCAGATGAGATTATAGGGATTTCTACACATTTTAAAGGTTTTCATAGCCTTTAACGTGGCAGAGAAACATTACACTATGATTTCTGGAACGTGGCTCAGAAATTCACTGAGTAACATGTTTCATGTTTTCTCTGACAAAAATCTGGAACACTAAGCCTCACAAACTTCAGGAGCAGGGGCTGGCAACAGATGATGACAATTCCATGTCCTTTTTGTTGAATATGCTATTTGTTTTTTTGTGATAAAAACATCCATCTCTTACTCCACAATCCCTGTGCATAATGCCGTTGTCAAGCCACAGATACTAAACCTTATGTACATACAGTACTGTAGCACAAGCAATTCATGTTTCAATGGCGAAACCAAGAGTTAGAACAAAGTCATACTGAGGCTTAAAGCAGGCAGTATCCCAGACAGTACTGTCTAGCAGGCCCAGAGAAAAGATAACTACACCTTTTCAATCTGTGTAAACAAACGTTAGGGAGAAAATCTTGTAGCCCTTTCATGTCTATTTATGGAGGATCCATATTTTAAGTGACTCAGACACTGACTTCTAGATGAAAACAATATTATCACTTAGACAACACCAGTCTAAAGAAAATAAAATGAGCTTCATTTTTTTTCCAAAGTTTTTTTTAATGACATAGATCTATGACACGCAGATCTACTCAGACACTATTTCATTTGGTAAATCAATGATTCATAAAGATTGTTTATTATAAACAAAACAAATTTGTATGTGAATAAACCACAGAAGGATTAAATAACAAGTCTGGAAATGTTTTCAAAACATTACAGTATGTCCATTTTCAAGGTTTACAGTATAAACTTGTATTTCAAACGACTTGAGTTCAGCAATGTAACTAATGCTGTTCTCATATTCAATGTATTTTGTAACATAGGGTTAATGTTAAAGTTAAAAGTTGTTTGTTGCAGGCAAATTGACTAATTACTATGAGGACCAAATCATGGATATTCTGAGCATCCTGGATTATGCTGTTCATATTAAGATTTTTTAAAACAATTTATGCAGTACTAATTCAACCCATACTAGCTCTGACTAGGTATTTCATGGTGAATTAGGTACAAGATAGTAAAAATATGAGGGTAGTACAGTGTTTAGCTTTGGTGCCTTGCTGCCCTGGGAGCCTGGGTTTAAATCCTAGAGTGCTTTCTGTAGGGAGTTTGCATGTTCCCCTCACACTTATTGCTTTTTTTTTGGGGTGCTCCTGTTTTTCCCCCACATTCCAAAGACACACTGGTAGGTTAACTGGCTTCTGTAAATTTGTCCCTGGTGTGAGTGTGTACGTGTCTCTGCAATCGACTGGCATCCCATCCAGGATGTATCAGGATATACAGTACTGTAGCTTCATGCTTCCCAGGATAGGCTCCAGCTGACCCTGAACTGGATAAGCGGTTATTGAAATGAATGTAATCATGTGAATAATAAAATGGAAATGACATACCTACATAGTGCTAAACTTGAGGTTGTGAAATTCAGGTGTAGTTAGCAGGTTTGAAAACACGTAACTGTTTCTTACCAGTCCGTTGCAGGTGCTTATAGCTGCTACCCCAGCGACAGAACTGGAGTTCTCCACGGTCCCGATGAAGTGACAAGAGTTGAGAGTCGAGGAGTGCATCTTGGTTGCGTTTGGACTCCCGGATCTCCACTCCAGAAAATACTCACGTGACAGTAAATGGTGGTTGATAGTAAGATCGAAAATTATATCTTGACCGTTGTGGTTCAATTTGTAAAAGACACGGTGTTCTGCAACTTCCACGTCCCGTTTACTCCTCAGCTTTATGTGATGCGCTAAATTGTGAGAAACGAACTCTCCGTCCCTGCCAACTTTCTGCGGGTGGACCAGAGCAAACTCTGTCTGAGACCTAAGAAATTGTTCTTTGGGAAATCGAAAGAAAAAAAGCTTTTTTTTAAAAGTGTGCATGTATAGCAAAGTCATGCAAATTTCACTAATTTTCGTAGCTCGGTTTAATTCACAAATAAAATTTTGTATTATGAAATATTGCATTTTATACGGCGGTATTCCGTCTTCATAAATGTAACAACCGTCCCCCTTAACCTTGCAAAATTAAACCATTAAAACGTTCAAGTAATCAAAAAGGGCGCTACTTTTTCCTATAAGAATATGAATGGCGTGACCCCAAAACAGTCCTGTGCACAGAAACTTAATCACTGTCGACGCACGAACACATGCACATTTTAACTGGCAATTAGTATGTGCACATCTATAGCATTTATTTTTTCAGTCGGATACAACAAATGTAAAACAACAATTAAGACACTAACCTTGCTCCTTGTCTGGGAAGTAGAAATTGCCAAGCTGTGGGGATCTAGCATGGCTGACAGCCAAAAAGAAAACAAACTGTAACAGAAAGAGAATCCGGCTCTCCTGGAGACATAGCATGTTTTAATTCACCAAATCTTTCAAAGTAGAGGAAACAAAAAGTTGACTGAGTTGCATAAGTGCTAATGACTGCCTTGCCACCGCTTGATTGTGAAATTGCAAGGATGAAGACGTGAGGGGGAAACAGAAAAAGGGTAAAACATATATCGTGTAAAGTAAAAGAAAGCTGCGAGATTGTGAGGGGTGGAGTATCCACAGAGCAGTGTCCCGTTTCTTCAGGGGGAGAGAAGGGAGCTTCGCTTGCAGCTGCAATGTTTGAAATGAGATAAATCACGCTGTGCTATTTACTCAGCACTCGCTCAGTCTTACAGGAGCTTTGCTTAAATTAGGTTTTAGGTTTTCAACGAGTTAAAATTTCAATTAATGCAATTCTTGAGTTATTTCGGGGGGCGATGAGGGGATACAACTTCTTTATCCTTAAAGGCTCATACTAGGTGACGTACAGCACCCCCGCTACACAACAGATCGGGCAGAGAAGAAATTGATTCAGTATTAAAAGGAGCAGGAAATTCAGGGATCGTGAACTCTCCAAACTCTTATGACCAAGTAGTAAAAAAACACAGAACCAAACTCGGTTTAATTTACTATGAAACAGCTTGCAGAATCTTTTGGTAAAAGTATCCGAAAATTACGTCACTCTTGACAATAAATAGCATGGACACATTTTTGATAAGTCACCTTTTAGTTCACTCTTATCGTTCTTGATAACAGTTACTAGCCTGTCAGGGTGAAAATAGTGGTAATGGTTTTTGGGACTACTGTGCATAAAATCTTGCTATTATACTATACATGGAGAACAATGTATGTGTTGTGTGTCTGTTCCTGTCTGTTTGTTTGGTCTTGGTCCATTATATTGATTGATATCAAGGACAGGGGATAATGAAAACTTATACTGTAGAGGGTTGCACACAGTGTGTGAGAGTAAACTTACTGTATGCGACTGAATGTTCAGGAAACAGACTCTTAGTTTTCTGAAGGGTAAGGATTAAGGCAGTGGAAATGGGGCAGGTGGGACTTCCATATTACTACTCAATTTGTGAGATTTGCAGCTTAAAACTAATTTATACCTACTCTTTTTCATTAGTTTTTTTGAACATGAAAAAGATATTTGCCACAATCCTTTCTTAAAAAAGGTTTTATTTTCCCAAAAGACATAATACTGTGTCTGTCACTACAACAAAACAACTGATACTTTAAGAAAAAAAGGTCAAGAATTTAAAAAATATTCAGACAACCGAGTTTACAAATGTTAGACTTCCTTTGAAAACATGTCAGATATTCAAAGAAGAAAATAAAAGAATAGATCTAACAGATCTATCAGTTATGGGCTTCACTTAATTTGATTGTGCCAGTTGCTTAGCTATTCACTGTAAGATTATTTTATTTCTGTTTCATTAGGATGCCCTGCTGTGCATTTTTTTTGGCCAGGCCACAAATGTCTGTTCTGTCAAGCAGCCTCACAGCATGAGAGCAAACCAATTTGACTTTATTTATTCAAGCCGTTTATTTTCTGTGTTCATTTACCATTTGTAGGTGGTTGCAGTATTTTATATTATGTGTACTGAATGGTACTTGGGTAACACTTTAAATCCTATTTATAAATCCATGAGAAATAGCTTCTAACTTTAATAATGTAAATAATTACGTTAAATATATCACCCCTGTTAATGACCATGCTATTAATCATTCATAAGGATATTTACTATGAGTATATTTAGACTGCATTACATTTCTCTTCATCTGTATCAAGTTTGTACTGAACCTGCAGCCCCTGTAATTAACTGTTATCAAAACATTTGTCAAAGGGCAAAGAACTCTCTCTCTCTCTCTTTCTCTCTCTCTCTCTGAGACAACAGCAATTGTTTTGTCCACCAACTTAATTAAAATGCTGAAGCAACTGCAATTTCAGAAACACTTTCTGGGTTGTTTGTTCCACCAAGAAACCATCTGTCCTCCCATTCACAGGGATATAAAATGCAGCAGAACATGACGATTCACAACTTCTGAATAGGACCAATGCTGGTCCAAGAACCAAAGGTAAAATGTTGCACACAAAAACAGTATTGTACAGCTCACTGTGATTACTGTACATTGGACCACCACTACAATTACAGTCACACTATTACAATTTTCACGCATTCAGGATTCAGAAAACTCACAATGACATTTGACACTGAGCAAAGCTGCCGGATATAGTTACGTTACAAGATGTTTTACTTTCTCAAACACCAGCCACATCTCTTCTCAGGAAACTGACTTTGGTCAAACTGCTATTAGTCAGCTGTCACTAAGAGAAAATCAGGTTGATTGACTGTCAGAACTAAAGCAACAGTTGCTGATTATATGGGTTCTGAAATAACTGTTTCAACACAGCCATTTTCATTTTTCAAAGGGACATTTTGATACACAGTATAATCCAAGATGGTTTTGCAAAGGCTAAGATTAATTTACCACAAACCTTCCTAGTTATATCTTTTCCACACAAGATAGTTTTACTGTATATAATTTTGTACAATATGGCCAACAGAAACATACATAAGCCACATGATCTTGTTTTTACAGAGAGAAAGAAAACATAATTTGTAAATCAAATCAGTACATTCAAAACCTTTAATCATAATCATCAAATATTTATTAATAATAAATAGATAAAAAAGACATTTGCAGACCCATGCAAAACGTGCCAGTCAAAAATAACTATGAGATCTTCTATGCTTCCCAAGTTGCAGAAGTCTTGTCCACTTTGATAATCTTGGTAGTAAAAATCATCTGAAGGTCATTATAACACCCTAGCATACAATAAGAAAGTGGCTGGTTCATCACATGACAAATGTGTAATTTTCTTCCGTTTCCTCTGCTATAGGATAAGTGTGGCTCTGTTGCACTGTGATTCTCTGAGTAAAGACCTAGAAATCAAATACGACATGAATCCTAAAAAACTTCTTGCCTCTCCCATGTCATTACTGAGATGGGAGGTTTTGTCGAGAGCTCATTTACTGTTAGAATTTAAAGGGTTCTCTAAATTACTAGAGAAATTTCAGCAATGCTTGAAATCTAATTGATTAGCTGTCCAAGTGAGCCTGAAGGGTGTTTACACAGTCATTGTGCTTGGATAATATGCTCTGTGTGCAATCAAGGACATTTAAAACCTTTACAAAACTCTTCTTCTCAATGCTCAATCTGATCAATTAAGAAAACAATATAATACATGTTTGTTTTATTATAAAAGTGGTTTTGTAAAAACTGAATTGCAATTCACATTGAACAAAAGCATTCAAGATGAGTTATTTCTTCATGATACAGTACATAATAAAAGTAGTTATGCAATACTGCATTTCTAATATTGTTTTTTTATTTCTTCCAGGGGCTCTGAGACCATGCTTTGGTTCTTGATTGTGCAGTATGTTAAGTGGGATGGTCAATTGGACACCTCCTGTGATTGCTTCCTAAATCATTCTTCAAGACTTGAACAAACAATGTATTGGTTGTCCGGTTTGGAAGTGCTACATTCCCAGCATACTCACCTGTGTGAGTGCAATGGAGTCCATGAGGCTTGTTTGAGCAGCAACAGTCACATAATATTTGAGTAAGCATTTGACAGAAGCTTTCTGTCTGATCATGCCTCTCTTTTTTAAAAACATTTCGTGATTTTACTCAAGATCTTCCAAATGTACAGATATGATACTTGTCTTTCACTACTTCTGCCTGAAGAAACTGAAGGATTGCAGCAGTACTCTTATGGGTCTTCTGATGTTCTGATTCTGAGCAACATATTGGAAAAAAGCAAGGAAGAAAATGAGTTAATGAAAGAAAAGATGAGCACAACTACAAATGTGATTAGATGTTTAAAAATAACGATTGAAGAAAAATATTGGTATTTTTAGTATTTTTAGTATTTTTAGTATGGGTAAAAATGCCGATAATGAATTCTAACCATCTGAACTAACCTTGGTCCTTGCCCTTAATGTTACCCTAACTAAAAGATAGTAAGGTGGGTTGATTCTTTCTCCATTCATATTTTTTTTAAACATGTTGTTAAAATGTATTAATTAAAGTATCAACAAGTAATCTCATGTATATCTACAAAATATAACATTACTATCTCTTTGCAGTGGTACAGTATGTGAAGAAATTATTCATAAGACTCAAGCATCGAAGCAGCTTTCCAGAAGCAGCACATAATTATATAGTAATTAGTCAATATTGAATTAAGTGCTCTGTGGCTGCCATTGATTGATTTTTAAAACTATTATGTGTTAACATCTGCCTAGTCAAAACAGCTGTAAGGCAGTGTGCAGAACAGCAGACAAAAGTCCTTCAGAGTGACATTGTATCAAACCAGAAAGTCTGGTGCTACCCAGTGGCCTTCATTGATGCTTTCACTATGATCAAAGGACTCTTCCCATACCATGAAAAAATACCAGCCTCTAACAGTAATTCCCCCTTGCAGCACACTCAACCATGTGCGCAAAACCCCCTGTCTGATGCAGAAATACTGTATGTTAAAGGTCTGATCACTGCACAAAATATTTTTCTATTGTTTGACACACTGTTTTTTATGGGATACATGTAAAATCTTGGAGGACACTACTAGAAGTCCTGAAGAATTTTGGTAGCACTGGTCGTTTTTATAAATTTTAGGATACCCAATTATTTTGTCATGCCCATATAACGAGTTTTTCATGTCTGATCTCTTAGTACAAACCCCATAACCACACATAGGACAGAATGAAGAAGTGTTGACAGACTCCTCTAGCCCACCCAACATCAAACTGACACTGCTAGTAGGCTTTTAATTCACCTACTGTACTTCCTTATTGATACTATACAGAAACCATGCAACTTGTTGACTTTGATGCTCAAGAACATGACCCTGCTTCCACTAAAAGAAAATAACAACAATTTAGCCACTCAGGGGGAAAAGAGAATAAGAGAATGAGGGAATGATTTTAAATAATCTCTAAACAAGAAATTTCAAGAACTGCCTGACTTGAATGTGGTTGTGCTGTAAATGAAATGCTTGAAATGGCTGCATGGGGAAACTCTCAGACTGATAATAATCCCCCAGTACGAAATTGCTTGAAGCTTTCCTTAAAAGATCCTCCAAAACTCTTATAGGACATTTAGAAAGACAGGCAAACTCTTAAAGCTCCTTAGTCAAGGCTACTGATTTCTCCCCGAGCTAAACTATTAAAAACTGATCTATTCAATGCAAACAAGTAATGGTGCTGCCTTGGGCCAGAGTTTCTTAACTCTGATATAGAAATTGCAGAAGTGTATGGTCCTGCATCAGTAGAAGTAAGACAAAAATTAATTGGATTTGTACAGTTTAGCATTAATATGATTTTATTCAAGGTGAGTCATAAGAAAGCTAGGATTTATATCAGCTATTGAAACAAAATCAAACAGAGTTTAGATATCAATACAGATTTGATTCCTGGCTTGACAGTAATTGAAATATGGAAATAATAGATTGATAGTAGAAATGCTGGTGCTCAAATAGACTTGGATGTGTCTACACAGTGAAACACAGTTGCAGTGAGGATGCATCCCTTGATTTCTCCAAACACCTTGAAAACAAGCCAGAAATGTCAGAGAAATATCTGAACTAGTCTCAAAGTTGATTATCAGGAAAACTCTATCAACACAAAAAACATGGAAATTCTTATTCATCCTTTTACTGACAGTTCAATATACTGTGGATATATCTTGGCGACAGGTATAAAACAGAAGATCTACACAGGTCTGGAGCCTAAGTTTTTGATGTGGGTTTTATTCAAGCAATGGGATGTCTTAAATATGGAAGATCTTTATGTATGACTTCGGACTTAATAGGGAGCTTTATCTTTTGTGTCTTCCTTTTGGAGGTGCTGGATTTCTGAGGACTACCTGCAGTAAATCTATAGAAGTTTTCAGATAAACTTATTTAGTCCTTACTTTCATTTTGTGTGATAAGACTAAATTGAACAAAAACAATAACAAATGTTAGACACACAACAATGGAAACTGTGGTAGGTACTTAAATGGATATTTTAAGGGGAGAGTACAATCAAATGCATTGGATAAAAATGCTTTTTTGTGACCCAAGTAATGTACAAAACACTTATATTATCTAAGCAAATTTAATTGTATTTGATAAAGCAGACTTTAAAATAATATGTTTAATGCTGAATATATAGTTGAAAATACAGAAATTACAAAACAATATATTCAAGAAATGGTCCATAGGCTTTTTTAATTACATTTGCCTGCTTGAAAAATAGAATAGCAAAAAAAAAATGAAAGCTCTATTTTTGTGGTAAAAAAATATAAGCATGTCTTACAAATGACAAACAGTTCATCTTAAGTAACAGCAATTACCCTCTTAAAAATCTAAATGTGTGTAGTTGAAAATACATGCAAAGAAAAATGAAATTTCTTGAAAGGAAGAAAAACACCTTACAGTGACAGAGTAATGCATTTGTCACATAATTCCAACAAGCTATAAAACAGGAGTCTAATGTAATACATTAAGTAGAAAATCAGGTTTTTGTTTAGGATTGAATGAACTGAACAGCAAAAAAGAATATTGAACAGAATTTATTATTGCTCTAACAGCATAGTCTGTGCAGCACAAGACAAAAATATTGAGAGGAGTGTTCTTAATGGATTTCTGTAATCTTCTTTCTTGTTTCTGTGTATCATGTCAAGCTGGTGAATGCTTTCTATAGACCACTGAACACTACCATCCTCTCTTTAATTAGAATATGAGGTATCTAGACTTTGAAGACTGTTGATATTGGAATAAAACAATAAAATACAAAAGAAGAAGAATACTATGAATTAAAAATGTCAATGACAACTGAACAAATGTTAAACATTTATTTTTGTGTGTTTTTTCAGTACAGTGAGACCCTGGAAATTTAAAAGACAAATATTTGTTTAAAACATGTGCTTATAGATGATCACATAAACGACTATTTACAGTATAAAGATGGTGAGTCCCTGAGTCCAGGCCTTCTGCAGTACAAAGTTATTTTCATGTGCCCCCCTCAATTTGAAACCATCTGTCACGACCACCAGCCAGCGGAGATCAACCCATAAGCGAACTAATCAGCACCAGCAGCGGGTTAATAATAACAAGCGCCACCGGACGTGTTAACCCACCTGCACAAGCTCTACCGTGCGGCACACTGCACTATGTATACCATCCTAACCCGCTTCCCGCTGCTCGGTATTGAGTCTACTCGTTGAGAGCTCTACCTGGCGTTTTTCTGTACCAAGTATATTCTGGATTCTGGACTCCCCTTTTGCCTTTTTGACTTTGGACCTCGCCTCTCATCTTGGATTGTTCGCCTCCTGTGTACTCCCCGGAATCCGACCTACCTTAATTCTTTTGACCACGACCTTGCCTCTTGTTTCAGATTGTACGCTTCTATCGTACTTCCTGGATTCTGAATCACCTTTTTCCCTTTGGACCACGAACTTGCCTAACGTATTGGATTGTTCGCCTGCCTTGCCAACTACCCACTCCTGCGTCTGCACAGGATCCACATACTGTATCTCTCCATCACGGATTCCTTATACCATCCTTATGATATATGAAAAGAGATGCTGCAGTTTAGGTAGACAGTGCAGGTCATTAAACAAAAGACTCTTCACAGTGCAATCTGATCTCTAAAACCACTGCACAATTATGAGAACTGTTTCTCTAAACCAATTCTAGTCTCAGCAATACAGGCCTAAATGCCTTTTCTTTGGACCCATACACAAGTGGCCATCATACAAATGGTTCCAAGATGTTGTGGAGGAAGAGAATTGACAAAGTGAAGAATTGTGTCTACTTTTTAAATACTAAGTGTAATGCCATGGTTTGGTGTTAAAAAGCTCATGGCCGGCTGAGGGGAAAGAAATCCATCTGTGAGACAGTGCAGATGATAGAAAAGGTTGTTGGCTATGAAGATAAGCAACAGGCTGACAGAGAAATTGGAGAAGTCACCGGAACCACAGGACTGCCACCTGTCCTGGTGGGGATTTAAGAAAACAGGGGTGGCAGGATCAGAACTGGGTAATGCTGACAATGGAATAAGCTGGTTTCGCAGGTGAAATTGAACTCTTGGTGAGAGAGCACTACTTGGACAAGAGAAGCTCAATAACAGAGCACCGGGGCAGTGGTGAGCAGGAATGAAATACCTGGTTTGATTGCTCCTCAGTTGGTGGCAGGTGACTGAGAGAGCCTGCTATAATGGGTTTGGGTGTCACTGGGCAGAGTTGAGCTCCTCGTGTGAATGAGATCAGTCCATGTGGAAACTGAGGATTGGGAGCTCTGACCCACCAAGGGGTAACACTAAGCTGCTCTTCATGGACCAAGCAGTCTATTGGACCATTGCAAGCTTAGGTCTGCTCTAGTGACAGACCTCCTATTGGTGCATATTGAATAAGATGCTCTAAGCCACTCTAAACGTGACCACAGAGCTCACCTGACAGGACACTGAACAGTAGCAGCAGCCGGATTTGGGTAACAGTGGAGAATCAAACCCGGTGCCTTTGCTCCAAACTTGGAGACATGCTGGCCCTCAAGCACCAGTAGTGAACACCCCTGATCTCATTGATTGCTTTTCCTTACTGTATAGTATACTGTATTTCATATCACAACATCCCAGTCCTACTCCTTCTGGGCATAGTGTCTTAAATTCTCAGTTAATGGAATGGCCAATTTGATAACTTTATCTTTTTAATTGTTTTCAGCTCTGAAAATCCCAGAGACTTGGGATAAGCCAAAAAGGTTTAAATATGACTTGGTATCTTCAACTGTTTAGGAGCTGAAAA